AGGGAAGGGGAGGATCACTCGTGGGACTGCTGTTCCAAGACATCATAGACCAAGGTGGAATCTAAGGAAAGGCTGCAATCTATGCGTCACAGTTTTACTCTTTTTACCATTAGGCGCTTAACACCTCCTCAAGGATGGTGTGATTTATTGTCCTGAAAGTGGACAACAGTTTCTCTTGATTCTTCGAAAAACTCAGTTCTCTTGAAGGTGGATCTCTGCATTCAATGCTCATTAAAACCAATGCGGAGGCTTGTTGGAGGACTGCCTAGCAAATAATGTGTGGGGATTTACAGCCTCTCCACTTTGGAGAAGCAAATATTGGTTTAGAAAGAAGGTAGAAAGACGGTGAAATAACACCGAAGGGGATCGGGGAAGTAGAGGTAGAGTACTCGTGAGGGAGTATGGTTAGATCTAGACGGATTGAAAGAAGAAGTATGACCACAGGATGCACTGCGGAAGGCAAATGCGCAATACTGCTTGCAGAATGGTAAATTGAACACGTCTTAATCGTTGATCCTCTAATTACAAAGAATCATTGGTTGTGACAGGTAAAGAGACTTGACAGTTGATGCCAACTTGACATTTGGCTTCGGCTGTTCTTAAAATTGAGGTCATTATCCTGTCTTTTCGCCAGTACCTAGTCCGCTCTCACGCTCTTCCATACTTCAGATCCCACACATCCACCAACGCCACCATCAATTGATACCGTTTTTTCTAGCCTCTAGACAAGGGTTAAAATTGGGCCTATTAAAAAAAAGGCGAGAGAAAGAAGAGAAATGTGGCTGACATTTTCACAAATGAGAGGTAAAAAAGGGCGAAAGAAAGTTCTAACAGAAAAGTCAGATGACCTGGAGTTAGCTATTAACGAAGGATGATACGAAGTACCCATTCAGTGACGGTTGGGTTAATGACGCCTTCCAATTAACTTTTCTTCAAAAAGTAAACGCATAGGGGAGAAGAAGGAGTGGGCTTGATAATGATAACTAAAAAGACCATCACATTATAGTTCAGACTTCCTTTTGGCATTTGAATTAGGTAGACAAAAACGAGCACAATAAGTGATGCTACTTGAAGCCATGACCAGAGTGCTGAAGGGCTCACATCGGTACGACAGGTTGAACACACTGAAGACACTTATTTGGCAGTGAGTGACAAATTCGGGGATCTTTAGAATCCCAAGTAAAGCGATTATTCGAAGTCACAGAGATCATTTTATGCAGTTGATTCACAACTTGTATTCCAAGTGTGCATTTGACACCCTGCATCTCATTTGCGAGCCAGCCGTCAACGCTAGCACTCCGAAGTACAACGTTTCGAGTGCCCCAAGGAGCTATATTGGTGGCAACGATTTGCGCAAGGGATTTTGCCTACGTGCTCCTCCTAAACGCCATGGAAGAAGGCACCTGTCATGCACAAAAGGAGCCGTCGGGACACAGTAGAGGAGCTGTGGAAGTCACGTGCGCCCCTAACAGCCATACCAATGCTGTCTCCTGTGACAAAACAGTCAGGGAGCAAAGCGAGATCAGGCAACAAAGACGCAAAAACATCAAGAAATGAAGACTGCTAGACCTACGCAGTGTTGCATGAAGAGTTAAAGTACTTGAAAGCCCAATAGACAATTAGGCGCAACAAAAATAAGGCAAAGAAGGAATAGAGGCAGAGAGATGTGCCGTAGACAGAAACCTGCTTTTGGCCCGTAGTTAAGGGTAGACATAAGTAGGAAAAATTTGGGGTAATGCCACGAGCTTTAAAGCCAAATGCGTTCATTCCTGGGTTATGGCCTTGGTGGAGAGAGAAATTACATGAGGTGTAAAAGGAGGGAAAGGCGGAAGAGGAGGAGGACGAGGAGGAATGAAATGGAATGAACCAAGTACATGTGACTTTCCAATTCATTCTCGTGACAACAACAAGGGTAACAACATCATGGAGCCATAGAGAGCAAAAAAATTCATCATACAACCCGGTTCCAAATGGTAGACTTCGCCAACTGACCAGAACCTAACAACCGAGGCGGAAAAAACACGACCTTCTATAGTGCCGCCGCATTTGCACAGTGAAAATGGGCCCTTCTAATTCACGTCTTTTTTGTCAGCCGTAGTGCCAAAACAAGAGCGTCCAACTCTACTCTCTTAGCATCCGGCAAAGGATGAAAATCAGAGTAACATCAAACCTTGACTCAAAAAATGATGTGATTTAGAATTGAAGAGCAGATGGTATCTAGGCTTGGCAAGACAGTAAATTCTCAAACCTTCATTTTTTAAATGACAACGAAAAAGCTGCCTATCATCTTGAAATCTACTGACAATAGAGTCAACCAACCTTGTGCCTAAAGTCTATAATTCTTGAACCTAAAAGGAGGCATTCGTGTTACGATGTATACCGCCTTTACTGTGTTCAGTGGGTTAAACTTTGTCGATCCATCCTCTCGGTAGGCAACACGAATAGGTGTAAACACAGCGGTCGGAAAGTACGAGAAATACCAAGACTCCGGTAACCAAAGCGGTAGGGCTCTGTCACAATGCAAAAGAATGGAAAGCAACGATTCATGGGATAGTTTCAGTATCTTCAAACATCAAAATACATTAAGATTTTGACTTAATATGATCACTCTTTCTCCAAAGATTCACCAAACAAAACTAAATAGTGATTCTCATATTGATGGCGTAATGAAGGCCCATTTTCCTGCCTTTTCATGAGAAAATTAAAACCACGTCGAAGTGATTTGCCTCAGATTTGGTGAGAAAAAAGTATTAAAAGCGAGTCCACGTACGCTTTTGATGTGGATGCCATATACTTGAGGCAATTTAGGCTTAAAAGTCCTTTAGATTGTCGCGTCTCCATCAAAAGCAGATGAATGAACAAATAGACTTCGAAATAGATGAAGGAATAATCAGACCAAAGTGTGAGCAAAGGGACGCATGAATGAGCGAATAATTACCTTCACAGAGCGAAATGCATTGAAATATAGGCAAGAATCAAATGGACTGGTCTGCTTTTGCTTCTCAATTTAAATCTAGAGGATTCAATCTTCTTTTTGGAGAGAATTTAAATTTAATCCCTTAGTTGTAGCTTGCAAATCATAATTTCTTGATTTATTACTTCACACATGATTTATTTTCGCATTTAGCTTAAAACCTCCGCGTAAACACCGACTAAAAGTGGCTGTGAAAGTAAACAATGCATCAGTCCTCTCTCCCACAAGGCAACGTAATAAATGCATTCAAAAAAATATTTATTTTATCTGGAATTAATAAACGGTAATTAAGAGAAACCGAACAGAGGTGAGTTGTGGAATCAACTCAATCTGCCAACATGAGGCAACCTCGCTTCAGGACAGCCAACTGGAGCACGCTATCGATCCTGTACCGATCAATAATCGATGGTAGTTTCGGGCTGGGTCATTAAAGAGCAGCGATTGCACACTGGAGCTTACGGCGGATCCAAACTCTTTGCTCAAATCATGTAAAGACCATTTCCCCTCAAATGCCTCTTTTGGGGAGGCTGTTGTATCAACCTGACAATTAACAGCGCGGTGCCTTAGTGAACACAACTCATTTTACTCACTTTGACAAAAAATCGAACATCTCTGGCGGCATCAGATCGCTGCACGATTGCAATGGGTCATCCTTAGCTTCCTCCGTTTCGGGTGGTGGTCGTGTCGGATAGAGAGAAAGAGGATGAGGACCGTGAGTGATGAGCGAGAAGGCCTTCATCGGAGGGACGCCAGCTAAAGGCGGTTCTGCTTCCCATAACTCCAATCCAGTAACACCCAGTGACCAGACGTCGGCACGGGTGTCATAGCCCTCGGATTTCTCTGTATCAATGACCTTTAAGTGGAAAAGTATGACTGATCAATCGTGAGTTATTATTTGATTCCTATTGGTTGGGAGATGCGGATCCCAATGCGGTATCTTGATTAATAACTTTTCATTCATTCAAAAATTCTGCGTTTAA